AGGGTTAAGCCTTCGCCCTGCACAGCTTTGGTCTGCTGCCACTGTTAGCTCTTCTATTCACAAGTTTGACAGTTTAAATTTGTCTTGCCTGTCACATTTTCATAAAATGAGGAGTGTCCCATGTTTTTGTAGCTTACATTTACAGAAGTTTCCGAGGTTTAAATGCACCGCAGGAAGACAGCCTTGCTGTTTTTTAAACAGGGCCGCCATGTGGATATATCGACTGAGTGTGCATGTGTTTCGTGATAAGGTTTTGCCCTTTTGTTTAGGATTAAGAGGTTTTGGAATGAATGTGAATAAATGTCATCACAAAGCCAGACAAACATACCTCGCCCTGCAGAGGAGGCAGCACTCAGAGATCTCCAATGCAGTAGTAAATAGTAAATGGAATGGTTCTTATATGGCACTTTTCTGCTCTATCTGAGCTCTCAAATCACTTTACATCACACATTCATATTGTACAACCACTTTTTTCTATGCTTTTTCTGTGTAAGTGCTTTCTATCTAACATCCGCACACACTCGCACTCAGCGCAGAGCAACTTGGTACTTAGTATCTTGCCCGAGGATATTTGGCGTGCAGACTGGAGCGGCCAATAATCGAACCACAAACCTCGGCATTAGCGGAGCATCTGATGACCTGTCGATGCACCATTCTGGACCGCTCCAACCCATAAGTGCTACAAAGGTTGTATAAATGTTTGTTAGCCTTTTTAATCTCCTTGTGTGCAATAAGCAGCAGTAAGTGTGTTTCCTGCATTTCTGTGTGAATCATTGCAGTGATGTGAGATTACTCCCCCAAATGCTCCAAACCAAAAGTGCTCATTACAAAACGAGGAAGAGGAAGTAGAAATATTTGGCTTCATATGGAGGGTATAACAGGACAAAGTTTAAGCCAGTGTGATAGTACCTAGAGCAGGGCGATGTGACCAAAAATATTTATCACGATATACATTTGAAAATTTGCGATAACGATATAACTGATGATATAATTGACACTAGAAAAAATACTTTACAACTCCTCAACTTTATTAGTACAAAAAACCCATTAATGTATTTTCACTTAAACAAACAGCTGTTTTTATGTGCATTAAAGTTATATAAAAATGTAACAGTGCAAATTCATTGCTGACAGTTTAACTAAAAGGCATTTCCAGTGGAAACTGGCCGACATATCCTCAGCATAACCATGTATAATATCCACAACACTTAAAAACAGGTTATACACACACAATACGGTAA